TCACGTAGGTATAAAATAAAATAAATTAAATCACGACGTTTCAATTGCAACACAAGCAATCATCATCAGTTGGGAAAACCACAGCAATATGTTTTTTTTGCTGTGATTTTCCCACCACACTCCGATGAGGACAGATTGCTATGGTTTTCCCACCTGATGATGATTGCTTGTGTTGCAATCGAAGCGTCGTGATTTAAATGATTTTATTTTATACCTACGTGACTTTACTGAAAGAACCAAAGAGTATGGATGCCTGCAGTCACGAAAACTGCAAATCTAGATTGACTTACAGTTTCCCTTCCACAGTTTCCCTGCTGTTTGCTGATGCAAGAGGACATACGAAGCCCACACTTTCACCAGGCTGTGGCTGGTTCAAACGTCTATGCCACTCGTTGATTGATTCCTATCCTTCACCTGCTGGACTAACACAACGATTCCTCCTGCCATGTTCTGGACTTGGTCCACCAGACCTGTTTCGTCTCATCACACAGACCATGTTTAACCACCACCACACTCCGATGAGGACAGTTTGCTATGTACGGTGCAAAATTAGTTCAATATACATAACATAATACTACCTTGAAAAACGCTGGCACACCTTTAACCATAAATGGGTTTTATGAATTCTGCCTGTTGCCATTGGCTGTGCTACAATCATACAATCACCGTAAGTGTAAACCGGACACACATATACATGCATACAAGGTCACCACATCATTATTCCACCATCAGTGTTTAATGGAAATAGAACCAACAGCTAGACATTTGTAAAAAAAAAAAAACCCCAGCATTATAAGCTCATCCCCGCACCTACGATTAGCAGGGTTGACTACGTACGGTGCGAAAGAAGTTCAACATACATATATCGTATTCCTCCAGTCTAAATAAAGATTCAGACTTCCCGTTCTGCCTCTTTTCTCACTGCGCGGCTTTGGAATTCCATCCCATCGAAACTCTTTTCCCAAATCACCTTGCTTAATTCAAGCAGAGTGTCAAACTCGTATCTACTGCACCGTCAACAGTGCTGTTTGTTGCAGCCCCTTGGCCTAAAACAAAGAACAGTGCTGGCAAGTTAATGCTCATTAAGTAAGTTAACACTCATTAATGGTGTGACTCTGCTCTTCATTCCATATTCAATCTGTTCACGAGCGTGCCTGCACGTTTCATTCACTTTCATTATACCGTAAAGTACACACACTGGCAAGCTACACAATATATCTGAGAGAAACGCATTGTTTTAATATTTTTGATTCATTCACAACTTCCACTTGAAGCCGTTTTCGTGAGAAACGAGGCTGCTTTGCTTGCTGTGCATACGCTAAAGGTGCAGTTTATGAATAACGTTCATCTTGTGTTTATCAGGAAAAGGCAATGTTCCAGAAGTATTGCTTGCTGCATCCTCAAAATAGAAACCAGAGCATGATTCCACTGTCGTGGTGTCACGTGGCTGCTGATGTAGATGCAGAGCAACAACTGAAATTTCACAGTCACGTGGTCAGGCTAGACAACTGCTTCAGGAGCAGCGGAGTGGTGTATCATCGCTGCGATGTCTCCTTTGTATTTGTGGATCGGGGCATTGCGTCGCTATACGTTGTACCGTCTGTTCTGAATGACCACAGTCGCACGATACTGGAGAGTTTTAAATTTTTCATTTGTGCATTAGGTATCCGTATCTACTACCATGGTTTGTGCAGTGGATGCAATTCATGGTGGACCATGAGTTCAACATTGCATAACATATATTTGGAAAGGAAAGTAGAAACAAAACTGCATGAGATGTATTTTAAAAGGCAATAGTAAACAATTGATGGTATTCAAGCAAGATTAAACCAAAATGCAATGAAGTATAACTATCAAGGAAACAGACTACTGAATGAGGTCCCAGTTTATATGGAGCACTTTTGCAAATCACGCTTGGTAGTCGAGCAGCAATTGTTTAAAAAGCCTGACTCTGCTAATGAGACCAAGAAGGCCAACACTAATCCAGAGTTTCTTGCTTATACAAATGCTGCTGGGTAATAATGGTCTGCAAAGGCAATAGGCTGATGGACTAAACCCTATTTTACTTTTGTGCAGAGACATAGAATGGAGTTCTACTTATGTATGCTTTTAGTATTAAGCAGTAATGACTAGAGGCATAGGCGGTTTTAATTTTAATAAGTATGGTGATGTTTTTTAAACTAATACAGTATCTAATATATAATGAACACAAGCATGTACTGAAGACTCCACAAAATCCAAGCTCTTGTTAAGTACCAGCTAGCAAACCGTGGTGATATGTCTCTCAAAACACAGACCACAATGCAGTCAGCCCTCCCAGAGGAGTTGGTGAAAACCACTCAACTTGTGTTTTAAAGTACAGCTCCTCCCGATTGACCAGGTCCACACGCATATGATGTAATTGAGGAGACATGAACTCCAGAAAAAACATGAGTTTTGAACATGTAAAGGGTCTCTACTCTTGCACAGCGAGAATGAGCGTGTGATAAGATAAGTTATGGCTGGCCAGGCAAGTATAAACGTCCTTCAATAACAACAAGAAGAAGAAGAATACAGCGCAAACGTACAAAATCCACTCCAGACCAATATCTTCACGTTCAAAATTCTCCATCAGCATCATCAGCCACTGCTGGATGCAGCCGTCCCCACACTCCTGCCATCTTCCTTAACATGCTTCTGATTTTATTATTTCCGTGCCAGCCAGACGTCTCGGAAGAAGCCGGAGCACCCACATTGTACCCCTCCGCATGCGACCTGCTGGTCAATTAACCGTGGAATACCCATTTATACTGCCGGATGGAAAGAGGTGGATGGAGGAGGGGGGGGGCATATAAGAAACTTGCCAAATGTTTCAACTGGCATGCCAAGAGATTGAACCGGCAACATTTGAGCTGCAAAGTGCAGTGTGCGCTTGCATCACGCCAAGGCAGCATCCAGATGTCAACCAAGAGGGTGGGGTGGGGGGGAGGGAGGTTTCAGGTCACAATATGTTTCTACTGCTACTATGAAACGCTGCTGTGTTATTGTTCACCTTCACACGAGGAGGAGTTACTACTACGAAAAACATTTTTTTTATTTTACCAGGTAAGGTCCACTGAGACATCATAGCTCTCTTTCAGAAGCCGCCTGGCGATCATAATTGACAGCTCAACGAAGTGGCTACCCGTGCGGACATTTATAGCAGCCAAAGACTCTAAACGCATGTTGATTTTAAATGTGGAGGGAAAACCCGGAGGACCCAGTGAAAAATCCGCACGACCACGGGAGAGAACATGCAAACTCCAAATACACAGCAGGTGTCAGGGGTCGGGATTGAACTCACGACTTCCTGTATACCAGGCGAGGTAGTTAACATCTTGCCTTGGTGCGAGATGCCGCAGTCGTTTAAAATCACATGCCCGCGGAGGAGTTGATCGTCGTGTACGGTGAGCGGGGCGCACAGCTTGTTCACATTCACTAACTTCGCGGTGCCAACATGACATCCTCCCTCGTCACAACATGACCGGTTACAGCTCCTTGCTACATCATGTTTTTATTGTACACATTACTGTACACTATACATTATTTGCAAACTTTGTTTGACGTTAAACGCTCTCGTCATGGCAATGTACACTTGCTGCAATTTATTTTTCAGTAAAATTTTTACATAAATCCTGGTTGGGGGGGGGGGGTCAATTTAGCTCATCATCCTTTTGGGGTTAATAGGGGTGCTGCGGTGCTGCGATGTTAACTACCTCGCCTGGTATACAGGAGGTCGTGGGTTCGATCCCGACCCTGACGCCTGCTGTATATTTGTAGTTTGCATGCTCTCTCTCTCCCCATGGTCGCGTGGATTTTTCTCTGGGTCCTCCGGTTTTTCCGTCCACATTTACAAGCATGCGTTTAGAGTATTTGTCTGCTATAAATGTCCACATAATAAGCCACTTTCGTTGGCCTATCATATGTGGCCAGGTCGCTTTTGAAAAAGAGCTACAAATCTCAGTGGGCCTTACCTGGTAAGATAAAAAAAATTAGTTTTAATATCACAGGTAACACTTGGCATAAACATAGCAGTAGTGGTTCTGTGGAAAAACTGGGCCAAGCCATGGAAATGTGGACTTTACACAACTGGATCAGGGCTGGATTGACTGATGAATGCCAATGTGGCACTTGTTTTAGCAAGTGTAGGATTGGCATTTTGTTTAACTTTTATAACTGAGAATGTGTTAATATCATAAGCAGGTTATTATCAATAATTGTACTATATTCAGTGATCCACTAATATCTTTGCAGAAGTTTCATTCTCCATTACACTACTTTTGATTAAACAATAAATTGCTTTTGAAAGTATATTTAAGATATTATTTTTGCAGGTTTCTCTCGCAAGACATAATATCCACATGGTTCCCAAGTGAAAAAATTGCTACATTTTTCTCAGTGCAGGAAGACACTTACTTCCATTTTGACTGTTGTAAACTCCACATTCCTATGGCAGGAATTAGCTTCTCAAAAGAAGAACCACAGCGGACTTCCTCCCAAGCTGTGTTTAACACGTAGCATTCGTTTTATGAACAATGATGGGATGATGGGCTGAGTTGACCCATGCTGGGATTATGATTAAAGTATCTTGGTGTTTAGTATCTTCTTACTCAGCCATGGCTGCGAATCGAACTCATGTCACCGTGATATCACAACCAGTCCTGGACTCATCTTCTTGGTTCTTTCGGTAAAGTCACGTAGAGTTTACCGAAAGAACCAAGAAGATGAATCCCTGCAGTCACGAAAGCTTTAAATCGAAAAATACAGTCCTGGACTATTCAGTAACTGACCCACACTGACCAGCGTGGTAAGATATGGCCAAAGCAAGCCCCATGACTGGCATGGCACGGGGAAGACTTTATCCAGCAGTGGCTTGACGAAGGGCCGAACGCGTGCATGCTGATTACACACGTAAAGACACAAGTGGCTCTTGCATACGGTCCTATGTCCGGTACAAAAATTAAGAAGAGATGGTACCTCACCTTGCGTGCAATGGGCTTTTGTCCCTCCATGCAGCCGTACCAACTGACCAGCTTGTTCCATGCTTCGGTGGGCACCAGCACATAGTCCAGCTCGTCAATGAGGTTCTCTTTCAGGGTCTGCTCCTCGGTCTCTTCGTCGCGACGGGGAACAACACACACACACGGCTCACCCGTGTCACACTCCACCCTCCCGTGCACACGGCACCGCCGCTGGTAATCAAGGTCCTACGCTGCTGCATTGGCTCCCCGGCTTTCACCGTAATGAACAACGCAAACTCACACGATCGGCGCTGACATCGATTGGCTAAATGTGCCAGGGAGTAGCAGGGTGTTTACTGCTCAAATGTTGAAAGTTAAAATTTAAATTGTGCTGGATGCTGCTCAGTTCAACTTCCAAATGTAACTATTTTAACTCTTTTTGTTTTTACCAGGTAAGGCCCCCTGAGCTATATAGCTCTTTTTCAGAAGTGACCTGGCCACAAATGATAGCTCAACAAAGTGGGTTCCCGTGGAAATGTATAGCAGCCAAATATTCTCTGAAAGCACGTTGATTCTAAATGTGGAGGGAAAAACCAGAGGACCCGGAGAAAGATCAACAAGGCCACGGGGAGAACATGCAAACTCCAAATATACAGGCATCAGGGTCGGGATGGAACCCACGACCTTCTGAATACCAGGCGAGGCAGTTTACATCTCGCCACCACAGAGCCCTCATGAACGCTTCTTGCTTGACAAGGCTACGTGCTGCAGTGCACTGTGCAAGGGTGACAGAGCGATGCATCGAGTGAAATGCAAGAGGGACAAAACGGCTTGATTAGAGCTTTTAGTAGGGCTGTTACTTTCAACATAAGTCGATCTATACGCGATGCTGATCACTACGACGGTCTCAAATTATGCCATGCGGTAGCTGTTTTATAATGTGTGTAAAATGCAGCGACTGAGAAGATGTGATCAATGTCTCTGGCTGTACACGAATCCACAAATGACACGGTAAGGCATCTTCCATGAAATTAACAAAAAGCGTTCTTCAAACATGTGTGGAAATGACCATGACACCAGAATGAACTGTACAAACTGGAGTCTTACAATTAAACGAAACTCGTTGGTGTTAAGGTAAAATTGTCAGCATGGCGATAACACTTTTGAGTTTGCGTAGGTTTCAGTTACCGATGCAAGTTGAGGCATGTCGAAATGTGTGTGAATTATTTGCCGAGTAAGCGGCGTATTACACAGCTCACCGCTCAGCAATACAGCCAGCCAAGGTGACCCCGGAGTTACAAGGTGTGGCCAATAAAGTCGATGTGAAATACAGTGACGAAGACTACCCCTTGTAAGTCAACAGCCAGTACTCACGAGTGACCACACAGGGCATGAACACTCCACCCCATTACCTCACTGCAAGAAAGGTGAAACTGTTTTAATTGTTCCCATGACCTAATTGGTATGGCAAAGTGTAAGCATGGAATACACATTCAAAGGAAACACGCATGTACACGTGGAAACACTAACCTTTTAAAAGGCCAGAGTTGTCTACTGGCCCGGGCAGGCTCTGTTGTCCCATCTGGTGCATGTCCCAGCTGTCGAACCTCACAAACTTCTTCCATAGTTTGAACCATCGGCTGTCGATCAGGTACCTGTCGAGAGAAATGCAGTGGTTCACTCGCGCGTCTTTCCATAATTTCTTGCAATGTTCCACGGGGTGAAATAGTTTGCCCTGACAAAGGCAAGCAGACAATTTTAGTTGTTTTTCCTAAATGAATTCACGACGCCAATTATACCCATGAAAGAACCACCACATGGCTTTGCTGCGAGCTACTTCATTCCCTCGCACAGTAGTTAAAGAGAAAGCCTAGCTACGTATATTTACAACCATACATAATTAAACGTGCTCATCTGCCCGTATTGCGCCGATGAAGCAGGGCTGGCTTAAAGGAACCGGGTGCATACATTTCAAACGGAGCCAACGCAAAACCCACTGCCCCCTGCAATGGAGCAGCGATTGGGACAGTGATGATAATCTCTTGAGCACCGAGACCAACGCAGCTTGAGTGGCTTCCTGCACTAGCCCACATGGAAACCTCCAGACGTCCGCAGGCAAAAATTCTCCTAAAAGAACACCATCGGCTGTCAGCCAACGAAGCACTCCCACTGACAAAGGACCCCCCCCACACCACGCACGCGTCTGAAATCCCGCAGCCCCCTACTGGCATAAGCTCCAAGCTCGATGGGGCAATTCCTGGTTGACTGCAAATATCACCAATAGCAACCTGGTAACGGACCCGAGCAGTGAAGTCCCAGAGTTCAACCTTCCATGGAAAACTTGGACAACTCTCGACCGCTTGAGGACAGGGGCCAGGCAAGAGGAGGCCACTTGCTCCACAAATGCAGTGTGAGGAGCAGCCCAAATTGTGACTGTGGCCACCACCCAGGTCAGACGATCGCCCCAAGCACTGAACTCCTGCCCCGAGATATATCCATTTCAGGTGGCATCGCAACCACTTACTCTGCCTCACCTGAAGCTGTTGAATGGATCGATAACCTCAAAATCAAATTATCACTTCTGCCCCAGCCATACAAAGAACAAGACTTGCATTTAAAATGTCGTGCTAAAGCGATTAGACAATTATTTTAAGACATATTTTCATAAATCATTAACCATCGGCCATTCTTAAATTGCCGGCTCCAGGCATACGGCCTCCAAAATGCCGTTGAGTGGCAATGTTGAGTGACGATGTTGAGTGACGATGATGAGTGGACCACGATGAGTGACGACGTCTATGACTGCTGTGACGTCATCTATCCCCACCCATCTCCCCCTCGGCATGTTCATTGTAATGTTCAAGGTTTGATGTTGCACTAATTACACCTTTATGGTTATTGCAATAGCTACTCGTATATTTGTAGCATTAATTTCATAAATCGATTACACATAGCAATAAATTACAAATCGATATTTTTCTTGCTCCATACAAGTCTACAGTTATAGCTTCATAGCCTTTCATGAGATTTCCGGCAAAAATGCACCAATGTCTTTATCACCAAAAAGAGAGAAAAAGCAGCAGGGCAACACATTTCACCAACGTGGATCTGGTCACCATTCGTGTCGCCAACGTTAAAGCAAGAAGGGCGCACCGTGTTTCACGTAGTAGCCAAAATTCACCAGCGATCGTCAACGTTGCAAAAAGCATCGCCCCGAATGTAAGAACACAGTTCTTTGAAATTACTATCCTGTGCAATTCCCTGCACATCTTTCCTTGCTCGGCATAAAATATGCAATCAAGGAAGTGGATGAACCCAAAGAGCCAACATTTACCGTACGACCAATTCCATCAGGCACAAAGTGGAGTGCGCCCTTTAACGTCGCAGCAACTCTCCCAAACGGCAACCCGGCCACACCATTTTTTATCACCGGAAAGTTTCTGGCGCGGCTGTCGCAGCGTAGCGGTTAGCGCTGTGCTACGAACCAGATTCCCGCTACGTATAGTGCGAAAGAAGTTCAACATCTCTCATGAACCCATGATGCCCCTGCAGACGAGCAGCTTTTAGCATTCTCTTGCACGTGTTCTCTCTTTTGGCAACCATTCTGCCACCGGTCTCGACGACTGGCCGTCATCTCTCCCGACGATGGTGTTTTGCTCAAGGTCACTCGTGATTTTTAAGCGGTAAACAATGTGTCAAACTTGTATATGTTTTTCTAAACCACATGTTTCTCTGTCTATCTCCGTAATTCTAAGTATCTGCTTCTTCATGCTTCTATGCACATTTTCCAGCATGAATCTCATTGTCCATGTTTCTGATCCATCCTGCCAGTGACCACTAAACGTGCTCCTCGTGTATCCAGGTCTCCCATCTCTTCCCTGTTGATCTCACTTTCATCTCGCTCATCCGTTTCTCTTTGCGTCTCAGCGAGACATTTTCCTCGGCAGGCCCATGTTGGTCGGGCCACTCCAAGAGACATCACGGGCCAGATGTGGCCCATGGGCCACCAGTTAAAAGAATCTCGCCAGTGTGCGTGGAATGAAGATTTTATGCCACTGAGGCCTTAAAGCCACCGAGAACTAGTGCAGGATATAAGCGCATTTTGGACATCTTAAACACTGTATAGGGGGCGTTAACAAGCGATCAATCAACATTGATCCTTTAGCTGAATAATACATGCATCGAATTGCATAAGAATCAATGTTTTTTCCCAATCATGTTTTATATAAAGGATTTGTGTAACACCTGCATCCTGTAGAGGCCGCTACATTCAGCACGTTATTATAAAATACAATAGAATATCGAATCGAATAGACGACCCTGAGTCGCTGCAATTCAAATCGCCGGGTGCGGCGAGGGGGGGGGGTCGTTACTCCACCATTAAAATGCATCACTGTTTCCCGTGTCTTGTGTGTAGCATGCTTACCCCTGGGTTAGCTACAATGGGTTCGGGGCTTGATCGTTCCAATCACCCCCATGCCAAAGGCACGCCATATGCTCAGTAGACGTTAAAGACCCCGTGTGTCGGTCTCAATAGACCTTTGTCTGCCACGTCATGGCCCAATCATGAAATATATTACCTAAAAGCTTCTGTTAATATTAAACGTCATAGATTCAATCATCATAAATGACTCTAAACTGTAAGTGGTTCATTTCCCTAAACTATTGCAGTCATCCATCATTCGATCAATGTACTGTGTGACATTTTGATGTGGCCATTTTGCACATTGTGAAATCAGCTCTAATTCAGAACTCTGGATGTATTCAGTATTCCATCCCAGGTCTCTTACTTGATTATGAGAATGTGAATTAATCCTGTACCGTAAATAAATAACCTTACAACATCACAGTCAAGTAAAAGGGTTCCCATATCCCCAATCAATAATTATTGGGCAGGGCTCATCTGTCGTCAGACACAATTCAGAGGTGATAATTCCACGGTTCCATGATGGGTGCCAGGTTTTCTCGCAGAACAATCCTAACATACACAGAAAATGATCAGCATAGTCATCAGCCGTCGTCTATCCACTGCTGTATGAAGGCCTCCCCACGCAATTGTCATCTCTCACGGCTTAGTGCAGATACAATCAAACTCCCTCCTTGGGTAAATCGATGTTAGAGACTATACAAATAATATTCCTCTTGCCTCTCTGGTCTGCTTAGGGAAAAATAAATATAAAACATTGCAGTTTCAAATGAAATGGGACTTCATTTGAAACGATTAAGAAAAAAAATTACAGTATGCTTGCATTTGTCTGTGTACATTCATGAGCCAGTGCTAAATTATAAATACAATTTAATTCCAATAAAATCAATGAGAAACTCAAGCATGTCTATTTATTTGTGTGCAGGCTGTATACTCTGGTACATTCAGATGCCAACCACAATTCCATAACCCCTCACTGCATTTAAAATGAAATCAGATACACATTACTGCAGAATAATTCATTTCAAGTGAATTAAAATTACAGAATGCGCATGTACGGTAAATGTGCTTGTGCATCTTCAGAATTAGCTACCATTCCTACATACAGTATTCGATGTAGGGGGGGGGAACTACAGCACATGCATCTATATGCAGCGTGCATACAGCTTCATGAATACTTGTGGAGATACAGAACTCAGGCCCATCAACAACTAACTCCACAGCTCTAAGCAGTTGTGCCGCAGCTCCAAACCTGAAATGTCAAGTGCCACTTCGGTTACCGTGGTTGTGACCCATCGCCCGAAGCGTTGCTACTGTGGAAGAGCCGCACTTTGCTTGGAGGGATGAACACCGCCAATCCCTTCCACCCCACCCAGCCACCCCATCTTTGACACGGTAACAACAACAACAACGGCGGCGGGACAAGCGGGCACACAAGTGCCGCCTGCTCGAAACGCGGTGCGCTCTCTTGCCAACAATCAACGCGTGCGCCGGGGAATGCTCCGGCATTTGATTTCGACTCTGCCGATGGGGCAGACTCCGAAGCACTCCCCCCCCCCAGACTTTGTTAGCACCGAAAACAAATTGCGACTTTAATCAATTCATGCTGGCTCGTGTGTGTCTGTGTGTGTGTGCGCAATGGAGGAGAAGGGCGATCGTCCGGAACGTCGGCTTTATATTTCTCCCTTTTGAAGCCGGTATTATTGACGAACGTGATGGGGTGGGGGTTCTAAAAAAAAGGTAAACATTGGCGTGGCAAGGCAAAAGGGCGCTACGGACTACAGCTGTGTGTGTGTTGTGACATGGGGGCACACACATAACGGATATTTGCTAGTGCGCTACTGTACCACAATGCTGTACCGTATTGCGGTACAGTGTGATGCTGATCCACAGCACATTGCTATTAGTGGCATGGCACCACATACAGTGGCACAGTGAGACAGTAGCACAGTGAGACAGTGCAGATACAGTAGCACAGTGAGACAGTGCAGATACAGTACCAGTGAGACAGTAGCAATACAGTAGCACAGTGAGACAGTAGCACAGTGAGACAGTAGCAAAACAGTAGCACAGTGAGACAGTAGCGATACAGTAGCACAGTGAGACAGTAGCGATACAGTAGCAATACAGTAGCACAGTGAGACAGTAGCGATACAGTAGCACAGTGAGACAGTGCAGATACAGTACCAGTGAGACAGTAGCACAGTGAGACAGTAGCGATACAGTAGCACAGCGATACAGTAGCAATACAGTAGCACAGTGAGACAGTAGCGATACAGTAGCAATACAGTAGCACAGTGAGACTGTGGCACAGTGAGACGGGACCACACAACAGACAGCGAGTGCCACTACAGCACCGGAGCGAGAGAGCGCCACCAGGGCGATCCCGTCACCACATCGCATCGACACGGCCGGAGGAGATGTCACCAACACCCTAACCCCACTCACCACCACCCCCCCTCACCACCACCCCCCCTCACCACCACCACCCCCTCACCCCCACCCCCCTCACCCCAGCGGAACGCGCCACTCACCACCACCACCCCCCTCACTACCACCCCCCCTCACCACCACCACCACCCCCTCACCCCCCTCACCACCACCACCCCCCTCACCACCACCACCCCCCTCACCACCACCTCCCTCACCCCAGCGGAACGCACCACTCACCACCACCACCCCCCTCACCACCACCACCCCCCTCACCCTACTCACCACCACCACCACCCCCCTCACCCTACTCACCACCACCACCACCCCCCTCACCCTACTCACCACCACCACCACCCCCTCACCCTACTCACCACCACCACCCCGACCACGACAATGGGAAGAGAACCTCACAATCGCCGGGTCAAGTAGCGGTGGCGGCACCGCGGCGCCCGTGCCAGGCTAGGTGCACTTCTCGCCTGTTTAACGGGGGGGGGGGGGGTCACGGGGCCATGGGGGTTGACCGACTGAGATGTGCCCCCCCCCACTCCCTTCCTATGCGATGTCAACTTGCTGCACATTGTATCCGCCGCCGTTGGTCGCTCCGCTTTCTTTCTCTTCGTTACCGTCGTCGTTGTTGTTGGGAGGTGGAGGAGGATTTGCCTCCAAATACGGGGCGACACAATACGCTCGGGATGACACACACACATACACACACATACACTACAACAACAACAACAACCGCCATTCGCCACTAAGTGGCGGTGACGTCACCACGATGCTTGTGCCAGGCCAAGTGCACCTTGAGGCCACGTGAAGTGTCGAAAGCCCGCTGGCAGGAGGTCACGGGGCAGACCCAGGTGCCACTGGTCGACTGACCGAGATGACTGGCTGATGCACCACCTGTGCCCCCTACTGTGCCAACTTGCTGTGCTTTAGCCACCCGGCGCTCCGCTCGTTGTTGTGAGCGTCGCTCCTCCGCCCTCCGTTGTTGTTGGAGGGCGACTGCCTCCAACTGCCCAGTAGCGTCCTTCACGAGCCTCCTCCACTGAGGCCGATCTTGACACCGCTGGTACCAGTCATCGGCAAGTCCACTCAGCTCCACGTCCTCCTGTACCACATCACTCCATCTCTTCTCCAGCCCGTGCCGCGCCCGTCTAGCCCCCTCGATCCGGCCGAACAAAAGCTGTTTAGGCATGCGGTGGCTGGGCATGCGGGCTACATGACCCAGCCAACGCAGCCTTGCCTGCCGGAGGAGCTCACTGATGGGACTTTGCCCAGATCTTTCAAGGATTTGTGAGCTCCTCACACAATCCAGCCTGGTTAAACCCAGGATGGATCGTAGGCAGGCCAGCCTAAATGTTTCCAACCGGCGAAGATGCTCCACCAGGGGGGTCCACGTCTCGCAAGCGTAGAGAAGGGAGGGAATGACCGTGGCCGAGAAGACCTGAAGCTTCGTGCGGAGCGACAGACCAGGTAGCTTCCACACAGCGTTACGCAACCGATGAAAAGATATTGCCGCTCGACTGATTCGGAGTGAGACCTCTGCTGATAGACTGGAGCCGGTCATAAGCATACTGCCCAGGTATGGGAAACTCTCCACTCTCTCCACAACTGCCCCATCACCAATTGGGAGTTGTGGGGGTGGAGTGTCCGATGGTACAAAATACCCAGGCAGGTGCTTGGTTTTGGTGGGGCTGATGGTAAGGCCCCACCTCTTAGTGGCACGCTCCAGTCTCAGCAACAGCGCCTCCAACTCCTCTTCTGAATGAGCAGCTATTACCAAATACATACACTACACACACACATACACTACACACACACATACACACACTACACATACACACACACATACACACACATACACTACACACATACACACACATACACACACTACACATACACACACACATACACACACATACACTACACACATACACACACATACACACACTACACATACACACACACATACACGCTCATACACACACACACGCACACACACTACACACGCACACATATACATACACACGCACACACACTACACACGTACACATATACACACACACATACACACACATAGACACACTACACACACACACCACACACACACTACACACACACACTACATACACACACCACACACATGCTCACACACGCTCACACACACTACACACACACTACACACACACACTACATACGTACATACACACACTACACACACACTACACACACACACATAGACACACACACCACACACACGCTCACACACTCGGCCAGCACACACCACACACACTACACACATACACACACACACCACACACACACACCACACACACGCTCACACACTCGGCCAGCACACACCACACACACTACACACACACATAGACACACTACACACACACACCACACACACGCTCACACACTCGGCCAGCACACACCACACACACTACACACACACACCACACACACGCTCACACACTCGGCCAGCACACACCACACACACTACACACACACATAGACACACTACACACACACCACACACACTACACACACACATAGACACACTACACACACACACCACACACACGCTCACACACTCGGCCAGCACACACCACACACACTACACACACACATAGACACACTACACACACACACCACACACACGCTCACACACTCGGCCAGCACACACCACACACACTACACACACACCACACACACGCTCACACACTCGGCCAGCACACACCACACACACTACACACACACATAGACACACTACACACACACCACACACACTACACACACACATAGACACACCACACACACACACCACACACACGCTCACACACTCGGCCAGCACACACGGCGCAAACCACGGCGCTCCGTCCGCGGGGTCAGCGACGACAGCCGCCGCCGCCGCGTCCCCGTCCCCCTCTCTCGCCTCCTCCTCCCGCCGCCGCCTCCTCACCAGGTGTCGCCCTTCTTGAGCGGGGTCTTGATGAGAGTCGCGATCTCGTTCTTCTGCGCCTCCACGTCCGGAGAGCCGCCCTCCGCCATCGCGCTGGCGCCTGGAGCATCGAGAGAGGGGGAGGGGGGCGGGGCCACGCGGAGAGGGCGGGGCCGAGTGGTGGGGGGCGGGGCCGAGTGGTGGGGGGCGGGGCCGAGTGGTGGGGGGCGGGGCCGATTGGTGGGGGGCGGGGCCGAGTGGTGGGGGGCGGGGCCGAGTGGTGGGGGGCGGGGCCACGCGGAGAGGGCGGGGCCGAGTGGTGGGGGGCGGGGCCGAGTGGTGGGGGGCGGGGCCGAGTGGTGGTGGGCGGGGCCGAGTGGTGGGGGGCGGGGCCGAGTGGTGGGGGGCGGGGCCGAGTGGTGGTGGGCGGGGCCGAGTGGTGGTGGGCGGGGCCGAGTGGTGGGGGGCGGGGCCGAGTGGTGGAGGGCGGGCCGAGTGGTGGTGGGCGGGGCCACGCAAAGAGGGCGGGGCCGAGTGGTGGGGGGCGGGGCCGAGTGGTGGTGGGCGGGGCCACGCGGAGAGGGCGGGGCCGAGTGGTGGGGGGCGGGGCCGAGTGGTGGGGGGCGGGGCCGAGTGGTGGTGGGCGGGGCCGAGTGGTGGGGGGCGGGGCCGAGTGGTGGTGGGCGGGGCCGAGTGGTGGTGGGCGGGGCCGAGTGGTGGTGGGCGAGGCCACGCGGAGAGGGCGGGGCCGAGTGGTGGGGGGCGGGGCCGAGTGGTGGTGGGCGGGGCCGAGTGGTGGGGGGCGGGGCCGAGTGGTGGTGGGCGGGGCCACGCGGAGAGGGCGGGGCCGAGTGGTGGTGGGCGGGGCCGAGTGGTGGTGGGCGGGGCTTCGGGGATAGGGGGGAGGGGCGGGGGGGGTTACGAGAATTGGCCAATAGCAGCGGGCTGAGCCGAGGGGGGTAGGGGGCGGGAATTCAGGGCCATTGCGCGAAACGTTGCCTAATTTTCTATTTCTAAATAAGTGCATGTAGTTGTGTAATAAGTACAGTATATATATTATCTTTTAAAAAGGGGAAAGCGTTATTGGCGCACGCGTCAAGACGGGAAGATGAGTTCACAACAACAACAACAACAAAATAACTCGGAACATTCGTCAACCGACTGGCACACGACACGCGGTGGGCCTCACGCGCGCACGACGTTTCGAGCAATGGGCCCGCTACGAGTGGTCAAGTTGGTGCGGGGCGCGCTGGGGGGGGGGGTGGAGGGGCGGGACGTCGAAAAAAAGCGAGCGCGGGGATGTCACCGCACGCGTTGTGACGTCACCGCAGGCGTTGTGACGTCACCGCACGCGTTGTGACGTCACGGACTCATCAGACTTGTCACCACTGAGTTCGCAAACAGCCGTCGTCGTCAGTCAGCTTCTTGCAGCGACGAGAAGCTTCCCCACTTGCTCATAATACCAATTACAATGTTTCACGCGGCATTCCATCCAAAGATCCCGATGCACGATGCATGGAAAGCAGGAACCAAAACAGAACCAGGGGCAGCCGACCAAACTAAAGAGGGAAGGCCAATTCAACGGGTACTTCAGCTCGTATGACCAAGTCACAGTGCAATGAGTTCAAGGAATAAGTAGGCGGTGGCGAGATGTTAACTCCCTCGCCTGCTATGCAGGAGGTCGTGGGTTCGATCGCCTGCTGCATATTTGGAGTTTGCATGTCTCTTTCTCTCTTTTTTTCTCTTGGTCCCTTCACATTTATAAACATGCGTTTAGATTATTTCGATTATTTTGCTGCTATACATTTCCACATGATAAGCAGCTTTGCTTAGCTAAAATTTGTGGCCAGGCCGCTTCTGAAAAATGAAGTTAATAGTTCACTGGGCTATTAAAAACATTTTATTTGCATATCGATTTTACGTATTTACGTATTTATCTTCAGTGACTTGTTTACCTTCCCTAGACTTTGCACTCCTTATTCGTGTTTTGTATTGTTTGATATTGTAAAGTTTTGACCCGCCCCTGTTGGGCATCTGTGAAAAAGAGCTTTATAGCTCATCGGATTCCTCAAGTTCCAACAAATATTCAGATTCTGATGAGTTGAAGTTGACAGCAATCACAATCCTGCCTGCTGATGAGACCCAGAAGGTTGAAACGGGTCCAGAGTTTGCGTGCCAGAACAAATGCTGCCGGGTAACATTGGTCTGGTAAGCCAGGCTGAAACATGTTGTATTTATACAAATATGCGGATACAGAACTGAGTTCTGCTTACACAAGTCCGCATTTGCCATGATAAGCCACTTCGTTGAGCTACCATTTGTGATGGCCAGGTCGCTTCTGAAAAAAGAGCTGTGTCGCTGAGTGGGCCTTACCTGGTAAAATAAAATAAAAAATATCTGAAAGCCCTTGCCTGGAAGCCCCAGCACAAATAATTCACTTACACAAGACAGAGTATCTATGCCAATTACAGATAACTATATCCATCAAAACTAAACTAATGAGCTACTGTTGCTAGCAGTAAACGGCTGCGTATATACGGAAATAAAAGCACAACGTTACTGTTATTATATTCTTGGTTCTTTCGGTAAAGTCACGTAGAAGGGAAATAATAAAATAATAAAAATATAAAACAATAAAATTCTCACGACGTTTCGACTGCAACACAAGCAAGCATCATCAGGTGCGAAACGTCGTGAGAATTTGATTGTTTTATATTTGTATTATTTTATTATTTCCCTTCTACGTGACTTTACCGAAAGAACCAAGAATATGAATCCCTGCAGTCACGAAAGCTTTAAATCAAAATGTAATGTTACTGTTATAGATACTAATCCTGTTTAACACATAGGCTTTCGCGACCAACATCCATAAGAGGTTTTTTTGCTGGTATTTTGATCGTTTTAATTACTTGGGCAGTGTCAATGCTCGTGTAATTTGATTTGGTTTTGGCATTCAATACCCTGTTGCGTTGTGCATCATTGTAACCTGTCATTTGCAGCTGGTTGTAATTACTGGGGGAACGTCGTACTCAGAGTGTAAATGTTGTGGCTTGGCTCTCCAACACACCTGTGTGCTGTGCTAGTGACCAATTGGCCACGTTCTGTTTGCGTGACAACCCTTACTAATTGGCTGTGTCGGGTGGTGGCGGGTTTTAACGACATATTTACATATCTACGCAATCTAACCCAAAAAAAACCTCTTATGAATACTAATCTTGATTAAATCCATGCGCAGCTTTTTCACGCTGTGTCCCATGCCCTGCCCAAGCACACTCTCCTGAACAGTTCAAATTGCCTTCAACATTATTTCAAGATAAAGAGGCAATCGTGATTTCTCTTGTGCCTAGAATCCACGTGGAACGCTGCAAACCCGCGGTTAATAATTAAAAACTCAAGTACATCCAATCCAGCACCTAAGTCTTATCCAAAGCGGATTTGAGTAATGACACTTGTTGAACAATCCAGCAAAAGTTCTCACCGCAAGCAACAGAAAAGGAGTTTCGCTGCGTGACTTCACGCTTTGTAAAGATTGAGGCCTCAGTTTAGGCGTATCAGTGAGGAAGGTTGTGCATCCACGCCATATTATTTACCCAATTGTTATTGTCTGATACAGGGTGCTTGAAAAAATGTTAACACTTATATGGGACTATCGTTTTCAATGGAAAAAGAACAGCTAATACACTGTAGCATGACAACAAATGTCATGTTAATCGCTTTAAAAGTCAAAGAGTCTCTACTTGTTCGCCATCATTGCCAACACATTGCATGGAATCTTCTCCAGGTGGTCTCCAGAGCGCGGTGGCACATTTCTTGTGCTATTGTTGCAAATTCTCGGAAGTGTTCACATTTTTTTGAAGCACCCTGTGTAACACTTGATAGGGGGGGGGGGGAATAACGGAGTGATGACATGTTCACATGGACAGCAGTTTGTGATTTTTAAATGAAAGGCGCTGCGTACAAAACAAAATACATGGTCACGTGGAAACAAACCCAGTAAATCCTGTGCCAATCGAAGCTTTTTCAACGTTTGTTGCTGACATTGTATGCCCCACTTTAGCCAACGGCATTACTTTCGACGAACCACTTGACTCATACACTGTGCATAAAGACGTGTTTTAAATGTTGTGACTCATAAACGTCCCAGGTTGAACACAGAAAAGCAGCTGTCACCAGCCACTCTGCCACTGGATACCTACCGGCTACAGCACTGGCGGCCTATCGGTAAATATTCTCCCTAAATATTCCCCCCCCCCGGGAATATAGACATGGAGGAATCCGAAGTGCTATGAAGCCTTTTTTCACATCAACTAGAATGGGTTGCAGTCCGTGGAGTGAATTGTTGTTTGTATACGTACAGTCAGCAGATGTTCTTTGCTGTGGTTGTCCCACCTGATGACGGACACTTGTGTTGCGCCTGAAACGTCGTGATTTAATTAATTGTATTTTATACCTACGTGACTTTACCGAAAGAATCGTAGAGTATGTATACGTACAGTATTTAAAATGCCCTATGTGCAAGTACATTTCCTACCTTTCTTGTTTGTAGCTTGGGCAAAACCTGGAATTAGTCACCGCTCTGACATTTCCAAAAAGGGCATGTCATTACAAAAAGAATCATTCATTATGGTGGTTGGAATTTAGACTCAACATTTAAACAAATGTGGGTAAATAAATACCTCGCCAAGATGGGATTCAAAGGTCTAATGATCGGCTCTTGCAACTGCCGGAGATAAAAAATAAAACGATTAAAGAAACATCTTCATGGTGAGATCACTCCCTACCCATAATCTTTAAAGTATCGTGCCACTACTGTATTGTGATGTACTTACGGTAGAGTACTTGTGTGCATTGTATCAATTGTTTATCATATTTAACATGTTTTACATTTTAATGCTAAAATGAATGCAAGTTTTACAGGTGGCATTTTGATGTCGGTCGGTGTTTATCTTCTAAGTAAAAACTGAAAATGAATAGTAGTATTGGTATATTCGTCGACATACAATTTAATCATATTTAGCGTCAATTTATTTAGAGTAATTACTTCACGAATACAATATGTAGGGCAGTAATGAGAGAGAGAGAGAAAAAAACAGTTTTAATTCCCGACTAAGTATTATTGCAGTTAATTTTGTATGAAACAATGGTCGATG